GTGTGTGTGTGTGTGTGTGTGCGCGAGAGAGAGAGAGTGCGAGCGCGAGAGCGAGAGAGGGAGGGGGGTCACATCACAGTGGAGTCAGCTGTCTTAACCGTGGCTTGTATACTGCAAACACATACCAGCTTCATCACTGTGTCTGTTCCCCTTTCAGGCTCTGTCTTTACATTTATAAGATGAAGCTCGCGATTATGGTAAGGGGCGTTACATTTCCGACGAGTGCTTGCGGTGTTCGGCCAATCACAATGCACTGGGTCAGCTGCCCAATCAGAGCAGACTGCGCTTGTCGGAAGGAGGGACTTTGTAGAAAACGAAGCGTTTGAGAGAGGCGGGGCATAGAGGACCTACAATAATGTACAGTATTTGAAAAATAATGTGTTTTTTGAACAATAAAGCATGTCAACATTTTCTGTTACACCAAATACACAAAATAATGATCTTTAAAAAAGCATCATATGACCCCTTTAAAAACATGAGATACAGTAGGATGGGGAAAATCGCCATAAAGTCTTGAGACATGTTTTTTAAAACTTGAACTTACATTAATTTTACATGGCTTTCTAAACATGCCGCTCTATTGTGCGAGACGCGAGTGCAAAGCTGATAGATGCCCCGCTAGAAAATGTGATAAATATGCGTTCTGTGTGAATGGCTTGGTTTCAGTTTCGCCGTTAACAACATCTTCTCCACACTGAAGCTCTCGTTTTCCGCAATATATTGAATGAACAACCTAGCAGCGCCGCATCTAGTGGGTTCAACTGGATAGGCTAACAAAAGCATTAAAATGCAATGACACTTACATTGTCGTCGCATTTCGTGCGCCACTGGTAAGGCTGCCTGACGGCTGACGCAGACCTACAATTTGAATGCAACGTTTTTGCATTCGAATGTGGATTTTTTTTTTTATATATATTCGATGAATATTCGAAATTCTAATTTTATTTTGACAGCCCTAATAAGTTTATGATATAAAATAAGTTTACCTGAACAAGCTGCATGTCAAGAATAGTGTTGCTGTCCAGGTGCATCAAGGTGTAGCTGCCGTATTTTGCCGAGTTCCCTAATAAAAAAAAAGAACTATGAATTTTTCCTCATATCGCGTCTATACCAGTCCTGACTCTTGCTGTGTCGTGCTGGTTTTGTCAGTCCAATGTAACACAAAAATGATAATCACAAGAATGCAGATCAAGATATAATTACTTCTAAAAAAAAATGTACCCGGTGTATCAGCCCTCATTTCTCCAGCAACTGCAACCTTTCCCCCTTCTTGCAGCTTCCTGAAAAGGTTTTTCTGATCCAAGTTCCACTTGTGTATTACAGCAGGCTCTAGGTAGTTCCTAGCATGCCTCCTAAATACATCATAGTGGATGATCTGAAGCTGCATGGCCTTGCAAATCTAAAAAATTAGGAAACACATTAAAAACCACATAATAATAGAACAGTGATTGACCTGGAAATATGATCATATGGGTAATATGAATATCTTAAGATTACCTTTTCAAATTGAATGAAGGATGCACCACAGAAGTAAGTAGCTGCAGACACCAGTAGGTTTCCAACAGGTGTACTTCCAATGACTGGCTGACTCTCCCACTTTCTGTGATAACTGCACTTTGGACAGTGCTGGGTGAATGACACATAGCTGCCCATTCGTCTACATTGAACATCACACTTTGTTTTGCAAACTGGACATGTTTCAAATAGCTCTCGGAGGCAGCTTTCAAAAACAATGTATTTTGACACATTGTATGTGGTCTGTTCCCTAGAAAGACAAACAAGAAATTGTACTCTTTCAAAGTCACTTTTACAAATCGCCAAAACAACTTTATAACTATAAAGAGGTTTAAAACCTACCATAATCCGGACTCCTCTGTAACATCTGAAATGTCTGTGTCTTCCTCTTCTTCATCCAACTCAAGACAAGGCCTTTTGTGTGGTGGGAATGGAGGGGCTTTGATGGGAGTTGAAGACAGTGCTACTGAGGGGAAACTGGGAGTAGTTTCAGCACCTACATGGAAAGAAGAAACCGTAGCCTGGGTGCCTGCAATTAAATGAAAAAGTTTGTATTTTTACTCAAAGTATTATGATAATGTAGTCCTAAAACGTAATATCTAACGTTTAACATGCAACCCTTAAAAGGCACAATATGTAATATTCGCCGCTAGAGGGCACGTATTCAAAATAAACAAAGAGGCAAAGGCGTAGTTTGATGACGCCGTGACTGAGTGTGGAATCATGGGAGTTGTCATCTTCATCCCCACAGCCGATGCAAACAATGACACTATGGACACGGTCCGTGTCACTAGTTAAAATTGCTTATTTCTCTGGATTTAAACATTCTTCGAAACATTTGGGATAATGTAAGTACACAAGTCAGCAAAATATATAACACTGTTCTAGTGGTTTTTGGATATTTTAATAAAAAAATCTTACATATTGTGCCTTTAAGTACACTGGATTTTCTACAATCTTACATTCAAGTTTCCAGTTATAAACGACTATAATTAATGCATTTATCATTGAATACATGAACACCGTTACTGCGTGTAAAATACCTTTGCTCCATGCATGCGTGTCCTTTAGTGTATCCAAAGACAGTTGTGTGCCAACAGATCGCGTTTTTGGAGACGCAGCAGGCAGTGTTGCTATATTGTCCGTTTGACATGCAACATCACGACTTCGGGATGAAGTGGATAATTGTTCTGAACCTAGGGCTTGCTGAGATGTACTCTAAAAGAAATACCCAAAACAAGTAGTTACATCGATTGTATGTATAACCAACTAACGGTGTCACGATTACTTCTGACATAAACACAACAGTACACATACAGAGTATGTGTGAGAGAGGAACCAGGTGGAATCACAGCTGAGTATGCTAACATAGACATTAAAACCCATTACAAACCAGACATTTGTTGCATCCAGTGGGGACATAATTACTGATTATGATTTATATTGACTTTTTATGCGTCGCGTGGGTGCATGGCAGACTATGTAAACATAAAACCATGTCTCCATTTGTGATCGTAGAAATGACAAACAACAAGCACTACTCTACACTGCTCAAAACTCGCGTATGAATAGTCCAGAGCAAATTCTTTAAATATGAAAACATACTTACAGGCTGTGAGTCAGAAGTGCCAGACGGTCCTTGTAAAGTTGGAGTAGCCCCACTTTTGAGAAAAAGCCTTTTTGCACAGCAGGCCTTGTACTCTCCCAGGTTCAGAAAACAATCATTGGTAAAGTGCGCAGCACAAATTCGAATGTTTCTGTTGTACTGCTCTGGAACGGTGTTGTAAATAAAACTCAGCCACAGATTTCTCGTTGTGTCCTCTTTTGGAAGGCCAAACAAAGTACTTATTCTTTCGCATCGAAGCACACAGCGTCTCCACGACATGGCGGCTGCAACAATACTACAGCGAGAAGCCTTCTTCCTCTGTGTGAACATTTGGGCAGTGTTATGCAAATCTTCCCACATAGTGAGGTAGATATGTGGGGGCGTGTTTAAATGAGCCCTTTTAGGAGGGCGTGGATGACTCTTAACTTTTAACTTTGCAAATTTACAGATCTTCTTTATGCACCAAGAGCTTGTAACACTCCAAAGACAAAGGCAAAAATGAAATCACATCATATGTCCCCTTTTAAAACGTAACATTTTCAATGAGATTAGTAAAACGACAATGAACATAAAGATGTGATTGCACTTGACTAACATACAAGTTACACACACACACACACACACACACACACACACACACACACACACACACACACACACA